GTTGGAAGCTGAGGCAGAATAATCGAGAGTCTGGGAAATTTCGAGATCTCATCTCAAAGACTAACAAAGGGCTGGGGATGATATAGCTTAGTGTGTAGGTCCTGGGTTTGATCTCCTGTATTACAAACAAACAAATAAAAAACAAAAAATAAACTCAGCATTGACTCTGGGTAAAAACCAACTGAGCAGTGTCAGACCTGCCAACTCATTAGGAGCAAAGGAGGCTTCTCAAAGCGTTGATTGTACCTTGTTTTCTTAATTGATTATCGATTTTACACCCTATTCCCTTAGCTCTTTGAGCAACTAATCTGCAGAAATACTAGCAGTCTTAAACAAATTTATATTCTCTGGACACTTCATTGTTCCTGCAGTCAGATATGATTTAATTAACTGGTAAGCTAATTTGCTTGAATATCTAACAAATGAGCCACTTGGAACTTCAATTCGATTGCAACCCCATTTTCATTTTTGAGATATTGTGCAGTTATGAAATACTCTTTTAAATTTCCTTATTTTTCTGATCATTGATTTCCTGTGAATTAAGAATATTGTGATAGATGCTTAGACTGATAATGTCTGTGTATATTGTACTCTTGCAGCACAGCTGCAGTGTTGTTGTGTAATAAATGAGATGGTTTGACACCTAATTCATTAACAAAACCCATGGTCCACTGGGACTTAACAGTGCAAGACATGAAGCGTTACTTTCTAGTTCTGACAAGAAAACATCTCAGCATAGTGGGGATGCACTGTGGGGTGGTTTGAATGTGTCATCTCCAGAATTCATGTTGAAACTCAAACCTCAAGGCAACAGTGAGAGGTGGCCATTGAGAGGTGATGCTCATGTGGATTTAGAGCCTTACAGAAGGGTGAGGTGCAGTAGCGGATCTTTCTGCCCTTCTGTCTTCTGGGAGGATAGGCACTTGTTCCCTCTGCAAGATGCAGCAACAAGGCTCAGTCTCTAAGCACACTGCATTTCCCTCACAAAACTGCAAATCTGCTGATATCTTTTGAACTCTTCAGCCAGCAGAACTGTGAGAAATGCATTCTTTATATGCTACTCAGGTATTTAGAAAATAGCAATAGAAATGGGCCAAGGCACCCTGCTAAAAGACAGTAAAATAAGTTATCATTGTCCGATGGTACATAGTTGGAAAGCTACCAAGCTGTGACCATGGAAACAGTGGTTGTAACAAACAGTCATACTCAGAGCAGCAGTGTAAAGCAAGGCAAACAAGGTGTGCAGTCTGTTGCAGCTGCCAAGCGCCACAGCTGTACTTCAAAAAGTCATAGATAAAGGACTGATCTCAGCTGTGCTCCAAAACAGCTTTAAAATTTAAATTCTGTGTCATTTCCACATGAATATTCTACTTTTGTTTTTTTCCAGCCATTTAAAAATGTAATACTTTAGATAAAATGGAAAGATAAGCCAAAAAAAGGAAAAGAAAAAAAAGAAAAGATAAGCCTTCAGCTGGGAGAAAAGACTTGCAGAATACCTATCTGTTATGGTTTATGTCTGAACTTCCTCCCAAAGCTTCATGCAGCCATGGAGGCAGGCTTCCAGAGTGTGTGACTGACTCATGGTCCGGTGCTGGAATTAGGGGTGTGTGTGCTGCCCATAGCGTGGCCTACATACAGTATAAGGGACAAGAAAGAGTCTTCTCTGAAACGCCCCCTTTTTGCTCTTGTTGCTTTTGCTGTTTTCCACCACCATGAACTGTTGTCTTCTTCCCTGAATCATCCTGCCTTGGACCCAGCAGACTATGGACTGAAACCTCTACAAACTGTTAACTAAATAAGCCTTTCTTTCCCTAATTTTGGACATCAGGTATTTTATCTCAGTAATGAGAAGTAATCCAGACAGAATTTGGTACTAGAGAAGTGAGGTGGTTGCTGTGACTATACTTGACCAGACCATGTGGTTCAAGAGCCTTTGGGAACTTAAAAAAAGAAAAAGAAAAAGAAAACAAGCCTTTGGGAATGGCTTGTGGGAAGAGTTTGGAAAGGTTTGGAGCTGCCACCAGAGAAAGTAACACTGAAACGCCTTAGGTGGTTCTATGTGGGAGATTCTGGTCAGAGCTCAGAAGACCAAAAGGCTGACATAAATTCTGCCTATAAAGGCCAGGTTTGGGAGGTTTCAGGACTGCATTAGTTGTTGAACTACAAACAATGTGTGTTATGGCTTGGCAGAGAGTTTGTCTGCATTTTGCTCATGTCCAGAGATTTTCCCTGAGACTGAGATTGAGTGGTGGACTAATTAATCTAGCAGGAAAAATTCCAAGGCAGTCTAATGTTGGGGCAGTGGCATGGCTATTATTGGGGGATTTTAATCAGATTTATGTTGCAAATCAAGAACAAAGATCCCAGGAGGATAATTTAAAATGTCAGTTTGGCTAGAAAGGAAGCTCCAGTAAAGCTATGGACTGCAAAGATAGAGCTGAGATCTCGATTGCTGAGAAGGAACAGGCCCATAGAAGAGATGGCCTGAGTGCATCACAAGAAGTAGCAAATCCATCCCTCTGTAGCCTCAAAACTGCAAAGCTGAAAGGGTTTGCTTTGAGGAGGAGTTTGCAGAGTGCCATGTTCCAGAATGGCAGCAGTGGCTGCACCAGGCTCCAGCATGGTAGCAGCATAGAGAATTTGTTCCTCAGAATCAGGTTCAGAGTGTCCAGGGGTCCATGCACTTGACCCCTACAGCCAAGAGGGAGGAAAGCCTGGCTACTGCTCCAGCTGGCAGCAGACCTCAGCATCTTCCACTTGGTGTTGGTTTTAGGCACATACAGAATGCAAGAATTAAGAGGGTAAGAAGGCTTCCACCGCAATTTCAGAAGGCCTGGGAGACCACATGGTGTGCCACTGAGAAGGCAGTGTGTAAATCTGTGAGTGTGAAGTCAAAGGTACAGCAGAGAACCCAAAAATATGGGAAAGCCAAGAATGTGGATCATCTAAGGAAAGCTGCAAGGGTTGAACAAAGTGGGCCTAAGAAAGAAGCCAAAGTGAAATTCACACTATGTGATTACAGTGGTATGAGATCCTGGAAAAGCGAAAGTGTGGCAGTGGTAAATAGTGGTTTTCAGAGTCCTAGGTGGGTGGAGGACCCAAGAAGGGAAGAATTGACAGACACAGAGGACTCTGAGAGCAGTAAAACTCGCTCTGTATGGTGGTGGGTATGTATAACTCTGCGTTTCTCAGAATCTGCAGAATATATAATGCTAAGAATAAACCCTGTGGGTTAACTTTGGACTGTAGTTAATAATGAACGGTGTTGGTTCATTGGTCATAATGTCTGCATGGCATCAGTGCAAGATGATAACAGGGAAAAGCAGCAATGTGGAACCTGAACTTTCTGTCTTAATTTTTCTGTAAACCAAGCGAGGCTCTAAAATTAAAAATTCTTGTTTTACAGTCTGTCCAGAAGTGGATGGCAAACTGTATTTGGCTCTTAGGGCACTTTACTGATTCATGGGCTAACCAATAGCAGTTTTGTTTTAAAGAATCCATGTATTCAAAAAATGTAATTTAAAAGGTAATTAAATAACCAGCCAGGCATAGCAGTCTACTACTGCAATGTAATTGATTTAGACTAATAATTTTAAGTTGAAATTTTATTAATTTTGAAGAGTATTAGAATATTTAAGAGAACTTATGAATCATCCTTTTACTATATTACATTGATGAGATCTATTTAAGGACTTCAGAAGGCCTTGCTTGTTAAGATAATTCAAGTATTTAAAAAATACATCACATTTATAAGTGCTGCTCTAAATAATGTCTAAAAGGTTTTAGCTAGATTTAAAGTAATAGTAACTATTAATCTATTTAGAATAATTAACCCAGCTATATTTAAAAATTGTATAGTGCCTGTGAACTATAAGTGTCTTAAGGAATGTGAAATGTTAAGACAAGGCTTAAGAAAATAAAATGTAGCATGGATTTTATTTAAATTTTACTTTGAACAAAGCACTTTGTTTTTCTGCACACAAGGTCTGGCTATGTATTTCAGGCTGACCTTGAGTTCGCAGCAGTCCTGCTGCCTCAGTCTCTCAAATACTGGAGATATAGACCTGTGCTCCATGCCCAGTTCCAAACCAATTCTTGAAATAAAGACAACTAGTAAAATATGAACACTAGTAAAGTATGAACTGTTGGTAAGGAATATTCTTTATTTTGATGTGATAAAAGTATTGTGATTATGTTAAGCAAAAACAGAACCCTTACATTTGGAAATACATACTAAAGTATTTGAGTCTGAAATGATATAGTATTTGAAATTTGCTTTAAAGTAATTAAGCTGATGGTCGGAGAGGGAGAGGGAACCATGCATGGAACAAAGTTGATGACACATGGATCACTGCTTAAATTGGTAATGAGGACATGAGGTTTATTACTTATTTTGTGTATGTTTGTAAATTTCCATGATGCAAAGTTTTAAAAAAAGGCTCAAGAAATGGAAAGGTTGGGGTGGTGTATGTATGGTGGATAAGTCTCTGCTGCTGAGCTGCAATTCCAGCCCACATAACCGTAAAAAGCAGCAATTTGTAAGTATCTCTCTTATGCATTGAACCATCTTCAAAAATACTGACAAAGCTCTCACGGCTTCCAACAGACAAAACTGGTGCTGGTAGGGGGGTTACAGGGAAATGTGGGGGGCAGCTTCCTGCTCCTGCTGCAGAGATGCTTTGTACCAAAACAGGTGCATGGCCTTGAGCCTCAGCCTAAGCCCTTCACTGGGCAGGGCTCTGCCCAGGGCCCTCTTGAGGGATTCACAGCATCTGGGTGGGCAGTGAGGCAACAAGGACCAGTCATACCCTTTGCATCTGTGAGATTATAAGGTGAGCTGGGAACCCTGCCCACCAGCGATCACAGCCTTAGGAAAGAAAGACTCAGGTCTCATTCCGGGGCCCGCTTAGGTAGAAACCCATGATCACAACAGATCCCCTTTGTGCTGCTGACTTTGGGGAGCAGAACCTGCCCTCACCTACCTTCATTCTTTCTGTAAGGTCATGGAAGAGATTGCTTCCCAGGAGAAAAATATTGCCATTCTCGAAAAAGCTATCCTTGACCAAGAAGGACCTGCCAAGTTGGCTCACACGCGCCTGGAGACCAGGGCTCAGCGGCCCAATGTGGAGCTGTGCCGCGATGTTGCTCAGTATCGGCTCATCAAAGAGGTTCATGAGATCAATCACAACGTGGCAAGGTAGGCTGGGTGTCTGCAGCAGAGGGCCCCCAAACCAGACGGCAAGCAAGGCAAGCAACGGTTAGCCAGTGGCCAGAGGGTGCAGGTACTCCTCAGTGGGTGAAGCAGTGTCTACCAAGTCCAGCCAGAGCCCTTGCCGGACATGGGTCCCCATGGGACGTTTCTAAAGAAGCCCAGATCCAGGTGTTTAGATAATCGCTGCAGTTTTAAACATTGCCATGTCACACAGTTTCGGTGTCACACTTCTGCTTGGAGGCCATCAACCAGAAATCTGTTTTAAGGAAGACAGAAGGGGAAGAGTACATAGCAATCTGACCAGACAGACTGCACCCTTGGAAAAAGCAATGCGGAGAGAAATTCCCTGTATTCTTCTGGTTCCCCTAGATTGAAGGAAACCCTGGCCCAAGCTCAGGTGGAGCTGAAAGGGCTGAATCGCAGACAGCTCGCCCTGCAGGAGGAGATCCAGGTCAAAGAGAACACCATCTATATCGACGAAGTGCTCTGCATGCAGATGCGCAAGTCCATCCCGCCGCGGGCTGTGGAGGACCACGGGGAAGCGCTTGGGGGCCTCCGCCCTGAGGCCGTGTGCTGAGCGCGCGGGCTGGTCACATGTGTATTAAACCACTGAACAAACCAGCAGCGTGGAACTTCTATTTAGGGCGACAGAGTGGGTCTTCCACGGCCTCTCCGGGGGATTCTGGACTCTCCGGGGTGGGGGAGGGGAAGCAGAGATCAGGGGAGCAGGGGTGGGTGAGGAGGGCTTGGTCTGTTTTGCTGGTGGTCCCGGTGGTGTTTCATTGTTCAGTACTGTGTGCCTCTCCTGACATCCCAGCACCTGGGGTCAGGGGAGAGATTCAAGACGTTTTCGTTGAGATTTATTTCAGTGGTGTGGCACCCTACTCAGGTGCGCCCCCTGACGCAGGAGACGGGATGCAAAGGTTTCTGCTTCTCCAAATTCCTTCTCTCCAGCACACAGCGTGCTGGCTTCCGGCTTAGATGCCCCCACCCTCCCGCTGGCAGCCACATAGAGGGAAGAGGGATTCCCTGCACCCTATCACCCCTTCTCTGAGTGAGATGAAGGGGTGATAGGGTGGCAGGCTTTCCAGTTCTTAACAATTCAGCACAGCACTGGGGCTTAGCCGAGGGCAACCCAGGATGCTGAGGGTACCGAGTAAGAATGGGGGACTCTGGCTCCCAGGCACGGGCCAGAGGAGGGAGTCTGAGCGCGGCAGGGGGCCCTGTGCGTAGACCCGGAGCACCGTGCCCCCCACCCTCCTTCAGTGGGGGTCACCAGCTTGGGAAAGAAAAGCCTGCAGGAGTTTGGGCAGCGCCTACCTGTGGGGCGCATCCTTTAGCGCCCTCATGCGGCAGGAGTTTGAGATGTTCTTTTTTCTTTTCCAGAAAGGAAACTTAAAATTGGATGATTTTGATGTTGGCTTCTGGATTAATCAGTATCATTGAGAGTAGTCTCCTCCGTCAGCTTCGTTATTGGAGATTGAACCAGGGCCTCACTCATGCTAGGCAAGAATTCAACCACCGAACCGCAACCCTAGGTCTTTTTATTTTCATTTTAAGACAAGGTCTTGCTAAATTGCTCAGACTGACCTAGAATTTGTAACCTTTCTGCCTCAGCCTCCTGATTAGCTGGGTTTACAAACCTGCATAACCAGGTCTGGCTTAGATTTTTTTCTTTTGTGTTCTCCTTCTTGCCAAAGATTCAGGCCAGTGGTTAAGAGCGTAGGTTCTGGGGCTGCTGGTGGTAAGGGTAGTACATTTGCTCTGTGTGTGTGAAGCCCTGAATTCAATTCCAAGCACCTCAAAACAAAATAAAGCAAAACAAAAGTGCAGGCTCTTGGGGCTAGGGATTTAGCTCAGCGGCAAAAGTGCCCGCCTTACAAGCAGGCAGTTGGTGAGTTCAATCCCCAGTACCGATAAAAAGGAAAAAGACAAAAATAAATAAATAAATAAAATTTAAAAAAAAAAGTGCAGGCTCTGGAGCCAGGTGTTACTGAGGTGTCCCATGGACCCTCCCTTACAGGGCTATTGAGGGGTCGAGTGAGATAAGCTGTGTGAAGGACCCGTTTAGAGCCTGACTCATGGGATGAGGGAGCTCTTAATAAACACAAGCCATTCTGAGCAGCCCATCCCTATGCCAGCATAACTTCTGCATGTTAGATGCCTGACATCAACTCACTTGTGTATGATACTTTTCTTCCTTAATTGTAGACTGGGGGCCGACCGTTTTTCATGTTGCTATTTCATTATTTTAGTGTGTCTGAGCCTCTATTAAGAGTTTTCACAGAGCCTGTTTCCATATACTCACAGTTTGTTTTCCAAAGAGAGCCTTGCCTAGCGCTGGCTGCCCTCTGCTGAGCCGCTATAGCCCGGAACCCGGCCTGGGTGACGGTGGGAGGAAGACCTTGGCTGAGAAACTGCTCTCTCACTCTGCTAGTGATGAGGGAGAACCTGCCGGCAGAGGGCACCCCTGCAGTGCCCTTCCACACGTGGCACCCTGGCCACACTCTGAGTTAACACTTGGTTCCCTGATGCTTACCGGACACCTGGTAAGGAGGCTCAGAACTAGTCAGGGGGTCAGGAGACCTTGATCCTAGTTCTGACACTTACAGGAAAGTCCTTCCACTCTTAGGTTTCGTCTAGTGTAAAAGGATTGGCCTAGATGGCCCAGAACCCTTCCCATCCAGGACCCTTAAATCTGACTGCCTGTCTCCATGTGTGGTACTGGGGGGCTCAAGGACGATGCAGGATGTGGGCCTCATCCCTGGGGAGTTTAAATGGTAAGGGTTCTACTGGGAGCGAGGCGCTTCCCTCACCTAACAGGGAGAAACGCTTTCTGCAGCTGGTGGTCCCAGCTCTGCCTCAGCCTCCTGATTAGCTGGGTTTACAAACCTGCGTTGAGTTGGTTGCGCTGCGTTGAGTTCCCAGCTCGGCACCTCAGTTCTGAGCTACATGCAGCCTTTCCATATTCCAAGCGACACGGGGAGCCCCTGCATTGTACCCATTGGGAAATCTCTGGGTGTTTTTCTGCTCTGGCCCAGGAATCAATCTAGGTCATTTTACAACTGGAGAAGCAATGTACCATGGGGTGAATGCTTGTGTCCTCTCAAAATTCATAGGTTTGAATTTATGTCCTAATGCTATGATGTTAGGAAGTGGGACCTTTGGGAAGGAATTAGAATTAGATGAGGCCAGGAGACTAGGCCCCTTTGGGGGTAGAATTAGTGTCTTCAAAAGTGTTCTTGGAGCTTCTGCTTCTTTCTGCAAAGACAGCACGAAGGCACCTTCTGTGAACAGGAAGTAGGCTCTCGCCAAATGCCAGATCTCCTGCTGTTTGATTTTGGACTCCCAGCCTCCGGGACTGTGAGACATAAATGCTGTTTAAGGAACCCAATCTGTAGTGTTCAGAGAGGAACGTGAAAAGAGCACTATGTCATGGTTCACTGTGGGGTTTCAGAACTCCTGGCCCCAATCTCATGGTCCTTTTCACCTTGGCTTGAGCTCACTTCCTGACCTCTAATAGTTTCTTCCCTGGAAATCACACCCCAATTGACATGACCTGCCATAGCTTGTTGATCTAGCTAGGTTATTCTGAGCCTGTTTCCCGGGAACCAAGATTTTGAAATCGAGACATAAAACTTCTGGGAGTGACCACAGGGCTGTGGAGAGAAGGGTCACAAGTCCCCGAGGTTGCAGTCCCTAAAGATGCCTTACGCCTTCTCTTCCTATGAGCTCCCCTGATACAGTCACTTTCTTGGTTCAGACTCCCAGATTTTCTGTTTATCCTGAAGAACCTTAAGCAATATGTGTTGAAGGAAAGGCAGTGAGTGAGACCAATGTGAGCATGTTGCTTCCAAATGTGAAGCCGGGCTGTACGTAGGCATCAGGATCCTTCATCCTTCTGCTTATTCAAAGTCCTGTGCAAAAAACCTCCAGACAATGCCCATCTGCTCTGCTGGGTCAGGAATGAGCTGCTGATGGAAGTTGGCCCAAGGAGTTTCTTTCCTGGGACAAGGAGACTTCAGTTCCAGCTGGGTGCTGTCTTGACTGGAGGCGATACAGGCTTTGGGACCTGCACACCATCTATCATTAGTTATGTGAACACAACACAGAGAGCTGATCAGGATCAGGAGCAAGAGGAGAAGTGGAAGCCAATACACCTAGGCTTCCCTGCCATCCCTGCAGCCCCCCACACCCCTAGCCCTAGATCTAGGCTGTTTCTGAGGCCCTTGGGATCTCTGAGACACTCAAGCATCCTTCTGCTGGATCCCACTTGTGCTCACTGACTCCCAGTGGTTTTATGTGGCTCTTACCATGGAGAGTTGTAACTCACAGCCTCCAGCTGTTTGACTGGAGGAGCAGACTGAGAGGGGTGGGGTGGTAGCAGGCCCACTCCAGTGGGATCTTGGTGGAGGAGGAGCAAAGACATTCCAGGTAATGGCACAGAATCTCAAGGTTCAGGGATCTTAAAGAGCTTAATCTATTCCCAGAGGAGATTTGGGTACAGTTGGGTCCCTATGAAGGATATTTCAACCTTAATACTAAGGAGGGCTTTTATAACCTTAGAAGACAAGTGCACTGTTGATAATCTTGACAATCATCATCATGGTGTGTGCTTACCAAATGAGCAATAGTGCAGACTGTCATTTCCATTTTACAGGTGGAGAAACTGAGACTTGAAGAGGCCCCACACTTAGGATTCAGATTTGAGTAAGGTAGCTCTAATGCACACACCTCTAAATGCACTAGACCTCATTTAGTAGCAAGGAGAGGTGCTGTATGGAGAACTGAGGCACAGAGTGAGTTGCTTACAGTAATTCAGTGTCAGATTTAGGCTGAGCTTAAGGTTTCCAGATCCTACCTGAGACTTTACTATTTTATCTTTGGAGGTTTTTCCTGGGATGGCTCGGACTCCGTCCTTTGACTCTGAGGTGGAAAGAGGATTGGAAACCACAGGTCTCAGGTGAATGCCAAAACAGGTTTTCATGCGGAGAGCCACAGTCAGTGACTCAGCTCCCCAGATGCAGAAGAGAAGAGGTAGGGGAAATTGTGAACTCAGTCCTGCGAGTGGGTTTGGATTGTGGATTTCCTAACCACCCTGTGTCTGAGGGCACTCACGGTACTGGACTATGGCTTTGGAGATGTATTTATTACACCCAGAGCTCATGGTGGAACAGACAGCCCAGAGGGCTCGCTTGCTCACTTCCACGAGCAAAACTCACTCTCAGCCTCCCTGCACCGAACGGGTGGCTGTGAAACCAAGTTCTGGCCCAGGAAGCGAGAGCAGAAACTGGCTGGGGATTCCAGGAAGGACTCCACCAGGGGTGTGGTCCCTTCCTCCCCTAACCCCTTGACAATGGCTGAGACCTTTGAGGTCACAGCTGTCTGTGGAGATCATGGGAAAGCGAATCATACTCAAGAGGAGCATAAAGATTCTGATGCCAACCCTGAGGGGCTCCAAAGCACACCAGCAATCGGTTAACTCAGACTTTCCATCAGGAGGGAAAATAAGCCCTAATTGTTTGAACCACAGTTGGGTCCACAGACTTTTAGATTGGAGAGTATCCTGGCAATCACACGATTTCACAATCATCTTGTTGAGCTCTCTCTTTGTCTCT